ATGGTATATAGCTTGCTGACTTATCTTGGGCTATACAACAAAAATACTAGTTCTAATAGGGGCAGCTTTGCCGCAACCTATGGTGTTTGCATGGTCAATATATCTAAAAAAATAAATGGTAAACACTTGGCAACGCATTCATTTACTTGTTTCGAGTATATTTACCATTTTCGCGGGATGTCTCTGCTATAGCGAGTAGCTAGTAAAACTTTAGGCTTTTTGCGTTATTTACCAGGAATCATTTCTTGGTCTTTTTAACTAGGTAACTCCTAAGCCACGTGCGTTGTCGTATCTCTTGTAAGCACCACCTTACATCTTGCAGTAATAGTGACACTTGATATTTCGACCAATCTCAATTTCGTTGATTACATAGGAATAAAATTGTTATGCTAAGTGATGGAACACATATATGTAAATAGAAGGACACACGCTGATGCGTACAAAACGTCAATTATTTTTGTAAATTATATGGCTGCTAACAAGTACACAGTGTGCTATTTATTAGTAGGAGCATAAATACCCTTCAGACTGCTGCTAGTGTACACGATAGTGGCTAACTCTTGATATTAAATGTGCGCGCGTTTACGTGAATGATTTTAGATATTTTTGAACTTCAAGTCATTATAAGTACTTTATAGCGAGATTTATTTATCGACGAGTTGATGACTTAGCGCAAAAAAATTGAAGTAGGTTCGTTTACAAAACTGTGCTTTTTGTTCCACTATCTGTAAATTTTTCCAATCCATGACGGATTTTTTTTAATGTAGTGCCTAGGTTCTCAAGATCTTTTTTTTTTGCTGCGTTATTAAGTACCGACAACCATTGAAGCCCCATTGACGAATCTCATTGGCCAACGCTCGTACTCGGTAGGCATGTTCTTCCTAACGATTTTCCGACACCAGGGGAAACAGCGGGAAACGCGTCCCTCGCTGACTAATTACGGGTAATTAGCGGGTAAAGAAACGCCTGTCGAGTTTGCATATTGTCAGTGGAAGCTGAGTGGCTAAAGCCCTTAAGCGTAGGTAGTCTTTTAAATCTTAACCTGTTAGGTTAGGAAAAACACAGGGGAAGACGCCGGCGTCGTCTGAGAGATTGTCGGGTGGGGAGACAGTGGTCCCTACTTAGGTGTACGTTAATAACGAGGGGATTATAATGGTGCCGTACTAACAGACAGATGAAAACTGACAGTTCCCATTTTTTAATTTCTTTTCTAGGAGACTGCACAATCGTGTAAAATCAAGGACAGCGAAAAGAAGAAATCAACGACGCCAAAACGACCGTACAAACATGGCGAAAACGACAAGATTTCGTGTGGAGCCGACGTATCCCCTACGGGCTCTTTGTACTTCATCGCAGAGTCAGCGGTGATAGCAAACCTTCTAAAACAGTGAGCCATCATCTCGACGCATAGGTCAGTAAGATTCACGAAGATTCGTTAGTTAGATGCCTGTTGAAACACATAAAGGAACCATTGGCACCAGCTCGAGGGAAAAAAAAAGAGTCAATGGTGATGATGCCATCGTGGTGTTGCATGTTGCTGAGAGGGAGAGGAAATACAGTTAAGAGAGAGAGAGGTTAACCAAAGACTACGTCCAGCTTGCTATACTACACATGGGGAGATGGTATAAGGGAGTAAAAAGTAGATAGGAGAGACACTGCCCATCACGCACACAGTGCAGAGTTTCACAGCTGGTCTCTCAGTGATGTTGCTTTGAAGAACCGCAGGAGGTCTCGTGTGGCTTACTGGGCTGATGTACTTGATGATGGTGCAATCAAGATATTTTTCGGAGTGAAAAACGATCGTTCAGTCTTCTCAAGGCACCCTTGAGTGTCCCGCAATATCGTTCAATGTCGGGACAGTGGCACAAGACGTGGTCAAGAGTTTCTATACGCAGTTGTAGTTATCACAATACTCATTGTTGGCCTAGTTGGTACTTGCTTACTGACATGATTTGGCCGCAAATAACACACACACAAAGTAAAGAAACACTCAACGACAAGCACAAGCGACACTTCCAACTAAAGTAGACCAGGCGAAAATCCAGACTCAAGTAACAACATACAGATATGCGCAGTCTTCACACAGCCTTACGCTATCCAGCTATCGAACAATCTCCCTTCCGATAAGTACAATGTCACCGACGGTTTGCTGATACAATTTTCACCTTTTTTTTAAATGTAATATGCTTCCATCAACTCACGCGCAGTTTTATGCCTACTTGTAATTATAATTTTAACCTCGTTAAAACGTGGTACACACCTGCGGGCTTTACAATGCATAGGCAAATGCGCCAAGCCATCTTTCATCAAAGTTAATTCATGCTCCTTAACCCATTCATTTATACACCGCCCAGTAGTCCCGATGTACGAGTTGCCACAAGAAATGGGAATCTCATAAACAACGCCTTTGGCACATTTCCCATACACCGCGTCATGTTTCTTGTCGCATCCCGGACGGATCACGTCCACATCTTGAGCAGTTTTCGGGCACGGCTGAGCCAGTTTTACGGGCGCGGAAAAGGCGACAGGTACCCCACACTGGCCTGCTACCTTTTTCAGGTTGCGGGAAACCTTATGAACATAAGGAATCACTGCAGGTCATACGGTTTCAATTCATTGTTCCCCCGTGGCAGATCTAGTACCTTCACTTTTTCTTTTCCGCAAAAGCGCTTCGGAAACAGCTGTCAAGAACGAGTCAGGGAACTTCGCATCCTCAAGTCGCTGGATCTGGTTCTCGAATGATGCCTGCATCATGTGCGTGCACGATTTTCCGAGAGAAGATCCCAGGCAGAGCGTAGCGATAGCACGCTTAACTATTTTTGATTGGCAAGAGTCGTACGGCATTACCGCTTTCTTAGCGCGAGGAAAATATTCCCAGCACGTTTTCCCGCTGTGAAAAGTTAAACGGAGATCTAAAAATTGCAGGGTGTTTTGTGCCGCAAGAAAATACCCTGCAATTTTTAGCCCATATAGGCAGATAACTTGCGAGTCAGACACGACCGTGCTCGTGAAATCAAAGTTCGCAGTTGCTGCTCGAGAGATGCTTTTTAGAAGGTCCGCTGGATGGCCGCACTTCTGTGTGCTAAATATATGATGAAAAAATGCGAGATGGCGGTACTTGGAGTGCTCACTAGAGAGACGGACGGATGGACCGACAGACAGACAGAGAGAAGAACGGACGGACGGACGGATGTACAGACGGACGAACATATGGATGGTCGCACGGACGGGTGGACGGGTGCTCCGCCCCACTCATCATCATGCACTCTCTGGATATGCAGTGATTTTTTTAGAGATGCGTACAAGACACCCACTTGTTTTCGCTCATAGCAACACATTGTCATCACAGCGAAATAAACACTTCGGTCTTTAAAGTTGGAGATTTATGCATTTTTAAATCAAATGCCACACTTTCTCACACTCGCGTATTGATATTGTGCCTCAAACGTGGTATATTTTCTTTTCGTTTGACAATGTTCCCAAGTTTGAACGCAGCCACCAGATTAACACATGTGCTCAGATTTGGCTACACGTTAAACAACCCCAGGTTGTCGAAACTTTTGGAGCCCTCCAGTACGGCGTCTCTCACAATCACATAGTTGTTTCGGGATGTTAAACCCCCATATCAGTCAATAAACCACCAGATCAATATGGGTGGGCATTGACTAAGAGGTTCAATTTTCGCCGAGAGGCTGAACCGTTGGACAGGAGGACCAACCGAAAGACCTTGTTTTTGTAGCCAGGGCACCCAACGGGGATTCATTATAGTGCGTGTAATTTGCGTGTAGCAGTGTTTATCATTTCTGTTTGTTTACGTCTCATATGTGTATGGGTTATTGTATACATTCACACCATACGAACAGTGAAAAATATGTAAGTTACCGGTACCATAGCATCTGTTGTACATATTCGCGGACATGTTTACGAAGTATTGTACACTCCGTGTGTGGGTAATCATTAGTGTGTGTAATTTGTATGTGTTTATTATTTCTGTTTGCGTATTCCCCGTATGCCTATGGGTTATTGTATTTATTCACATCATACGGACAAACTAAAATATGTAAGTTACATGTGCCAAAACATCTGTTGTACATATTCGCTGACATGTTCACGAAGCATTGTACGTTCTGTTTGTACATGATCCTGTGCATTGTGTATAGTGAGATAAGTGTGTGTATGTCAGTTCTTGGTATTGTATCAAGTCACCCTGTGAATCTGAACAATTTCGTTGAAAATTTTCATGTGTATTTGGTTTAGTCGTATATGTATTTTAATGTCATTTTGGCGTAGACACTGTTTTTTTATGTTCACATGTTAGCATTGTAGGATGAAATAAGCATCTTTTTAAACAGACCCAAGTTTTTGAGTTGAAGTATCTCAATAAAGAATATAGTCTTAAAAAGCGCCAGGCCGGTTTGAAATACTTGGCTTAATGCCAGCGTAATCTAGAGCAGTGGCCTCTATTAGAGGTGATTGTAAATTCTCCAATAGCGAGTACCTTATGTACAGTTGCTATGAACCCTCTACGCCATAAAGCGTCACTTTGCGAAGCGAGGTACACGCGCCTATCAGAGAACACACAGAGCTTCTTAACAAAGCCGTACACATGTTTTGAATGTGTTGCTGATCATGACGTTGAAGACTTATCGCTGAGCTCTTAGTAAAATGTATCAAGCTTTGAACAGCCCACTAGTTGCACATTTCGCATAGTGTGAAGCATGGTGCGATTCACCATTCGCATGGTGTGATGCATGGCGGGATTAAATTTTCGGTACCACCATGCATCTGTTTCTTATTTCTGTGCTCATCTTTTCGCGCTGTTTAACAACGCTAATAGTCTGTGAATCTTTTTTGAATTATTTCTTTTGCCTACTTGCCTGTTGTAATCGATCATTGACTCGATATTTTCTGTGCACTTTGCTTACTACGCAGATTTGAATTCCAGCCTACCGCAGTGTAACAAGCGCAACTCCCACAGTTTGGCGTCACGAGTGGACTGCATGAACGTTCAGGATCAGTGCGCTGTGAACAAGGCCCACGCCATGGTCCTCGTTGTCAGGCCGCAGAGAGGCGACGTCGTTCCGGCGTTCAACGTCAGTGAAAACATCACGCCATTACACGACGGAGGGTGGCCGGACGAGCTCGATGAAGAGTTTTCCGAGAACTTTGTAAGGGCCGTTACCGTACTGGGATACCTTTACACCTTCTTCATACCGATGCTCATAGTGCTGGGCCTGGTTGGAAACGGCCTGTCTTTCGTCACGTTCCTCTTCACGCGACTCAAAGTGCGGGCGTCCAGCTTCTACCTCGGAACGCTGGCACTGTCAGACTTTGGGTATCTCTTTCTCATGGCATTCGTCTGGCTGGACAAGCAAGGGGTGAAGGTGAGTGAACGCTGAACGTTCCCGATTGAATTTGGTATCGGTGGGGGTGTTTTCTGCAGCTGGCTATTTTGCAGAGAAAGCTGTTATGGGTTCACAACAAGATACAATATCGGTGCCGTAGTTGTCCGCCACCGCCGCCGGTGTCCGTGAGGGCTAATCGCACGAATGAAAAAAAAAATGAAGAAAAATAAATATAAAATACTCATCATAATATGGGATTCCACCCCGGATTATCAAAAAAAGGAATTACCCGTGGCTTCTTCCCACAGCACGAAATGGGTGACGAGAGAGTAATTTATTGCTTCCAACTTTACAAAAGGCCCACGAACAACATTTGATTGTTGCCAACCACAGCATCATTAAAGTGAACGAAATATTTTACCGGTGCGTAGCGGGTACCACGCTTATCCGAAGAATGACTTATACTGATACAAAAGTGTAGGCCTTCATACTTCAAGAAAATTGTGAGGATTTATGGCATAGCGGGTTCTATGCTATAGTGCTTGTAGTAATTTTCTCAATAACGCTTTAAAGATATGGTACAAATCTCACTTTTACAGCTTTAGTTGTGACTCTGCATCGTGCTCCGCGCAGGCGAAATGGTTTTTTGTTGGTTTAAATGTTTTATACTGGGAGAAGTACCTGCAGCAATATGTACCCGCAGTTCCTCAGACTGTTCGTGTCCTCTACTGTGCATGTCTTCACATCTGTGCAATCTTGCTGTCGCTTAGGTGTTCACGGAGAAGGTTTGGAACTCAAGGCAGCAAAGCTGGAGCGTATACCTGGTTGTATTTTAAGCCTTTCTTTCCTTCTCTAGCGTGCTGGATTGAGGTCATGTAGCATTGAAATGGAAATGTTGTAATGAGACAGCGTACGGAGATGTGTAGCTTGAACTGCGGAATCATCTACATCTGAATCTAGATATAATGAAAACTAATACAGTGAATTATCAGTTATACCGAACTGGTAACAATCTTTGGTTGATCAGGCTTCAATGCAGCGACATTGATTCTTTTTATAACAAAACCGGGCATTCCAGATACACAGCGACGTGGTTTGTAACTATGTTTGGACGTGGCCCCGTATTTGAAATTAAGCATGAATATCAGCATAGCCTTTTTAATGCAATTGATAATTATCAAAAAATGGCGTTAAATCTAAGCTCTGATAGAGAACTGTTCGGATCTCAAACAGTTTCTTGCCCGGTGGACATTTCGTTTCGTGTCTGTACCGCCAAACGAAATTTGTACGTAAGACCATTGCACAAGGTCAGTTTAAATGTGCTTTATATTCGAAGCAGCTCTTTGACTCACGTGTGTAATGCAATACGTACGTGCGTTCGTACGAAGGCGCCGCAACGCGTTCCCCTCACCGAAAGTGTTGGAGCAGTTCTAAATAGGTCAGCCTGCAGCTGCGCGTTGACGTCAGTCTCTATCTCACCCGCACTACGCTCGCCACTGCACCTGCAACTCCCACTTCGACGTCGCGTGCCTGCAGGAACCTTTCAGTGCGCACATCACCAATGAGCAGGCTGTCGTAGTGCAGGCGAAACGCGCACTTGCTCTGGTCCAGCGCCCAAGTCTTGGCTCTGAACAAATGACGACTACGAAGTCTTCCCGAACGCTTTAATGATACTTACGCGAATCCCAACCCACCTATGTGTCGTTGCGTTTCAAACAAACTTTCACTAGAGTAAGCGCTACACCGAATTTCGCTTCAAACTGTTCTTCTAGCATCGGCGCCGATGTCCGTTTCAACCAGGTCAACGCTGTGCGCACCGCTGCTGCGTCACATCCCATCAGGGTTCCCTTCGGAGAGATGGTCAATTTGTATTTATGGTTCTTGAGTAAGCCAGACTAGCGATATTTATCTGTGCTTAAGAAAAAGAGACATGAAAAGTAAAAGGTTATAGCTAAAAAAAAGAAAGCAAGTGGTGGAAAGGTAAGCAGACCGCGGACAGTTGCTTTCTGTGTGTGTACTGTTACAGCTCGTATCAGATATACCAAGCCAATTTATGGTCCCCATAATACTTCGGTAAAGGGAGATACTTGTTTCGGCTAATGCAGATGCTGAACAAGCGAGGCATGTGTCAAGGCATCCTCTACCTTTCGACAGCGTTCAGTTTCTGGTCAGTGTGGCTCACTGTGACCTTCACCGCTGAACGCTGCTTCGCCGTGCAGTGTCCCCTGTGGAGGCTCCAGCTAAGCACCACATGCCGCGCCCGTATCACCGTCGGCGTGACGGCAGCTGCCTCCCTCTTGCTCAACTCGTACCTTCTCCTGCTTACCGACGTCATTGTTGAAGACGGCGTGTCGGCCTGCCATCACAGACCCGAGTTCAAGCAGTAAGTCGATAATGAAACTTTCATGAAAGGGGGCCCTGGATCACTTTCCTGAATAACCATCGAATGACTTCATTAAAGACTTGAAGCGAAATCCTCGGATGTCTCATCAAACGCAAAATTTGGCCGTCGGCTTCCCATGCCGTTGATGTCAGCGTCGGGCGGCATCAGGGACAAATAACGCAAAAATATCATCGTCGCGTCCTCAAGTCACCATACGACATCAAGATGATGCTACAGATCACCAAAATTTGTGACGTCATCATTATAGTATAGTGGTGTCGTATGACGTAACATCACACTATGAAATAACATTTCGTGACGTCGTAACTTGATCAAAGATGGTCCAATCATGGAGGCAATATAAGACAATGTTAGGGCTTAAAGCTTTAGAAGGTTGCGGGGTGGGATTAGTGTCTTGATTGAGAAGACAAATAAAGTGGCCGTTGTCTACGAGTAGTCCTAATTGAGTGGACAAATAACTCTCATATTGTCCACGCAAGCACTTTGAGAGCGCGTCAAGTACGCATGGAGTTAGAAAATTATCACACACTGTAAATGCTACCTCTCTGCTCTCATCCCGACGAGCCTGCTGGAAGCTAAGCAGGGCGATGTGGCAAGGATAAAGAAGCTAGCTCACGTGTGAATCACAACCTTGAGCACCTCTTAGATACAAAGCCGCTTCAGCTTGAGAATGTGGGCGTCCCTCAGCATCCATTTGCTTTCCCTCTGCGAATTTGGCAGCTCTTCCTTCTCTCGTGGGCACGAAGAGGTGGGAGGAGATGGGGTTAAAGAGGTAGCGGAGCACTGCCTCCACTCCTCTCTCGCTTATCTCTCCACCTCAGCTGTGTTCTCATATATGATGTGCTATCTATCTATCTATCTATCTATCTTCTATCTATCTATCTATCTATCTATCTATTATCTATCTACTATCTATCTATCTATCTATCTATCTATCTATCTATCTATCTATCTATCTATCTATCTATCTATCTATCTATCTATCTATCTATCTATCTATCTATCTATCTATCTATCTATCTATCTATCTATCTATCTATCTATCTATCTATCTATCTATCTATCTATCTATCTATCTATCTATCTATCTATCTATCTATCTATCTATCTATCATCTATCTATCTATCTATCTATCTATCTATCTATCTATCTATCTATCTATCTATCTATCTATCTATCTATCTATCTATCTATCTATCTAGCTATCTATCTATCTATCTATCTATCTATCTATCTATATCTATCTATCTATCTATCTATCTATCTATCTATCTATCTATCTATCTATCTATCTATCTATCTCTATCTATCTATCTATCTACTATCTATCTATCTATCTATCTATCTATCTATCTATCTATCTATCTAGCTGCCTGCGTCTGGGTGCGCTATTGTTCAAACCGTAAGTTGGCTTAAATCAGAATTAGTACGGGAGGGTAAGAAGGTTCGACGAATATCACTCACGGGTCATGACATGAAGAATGTTTGTATCCCGTCGTCTTCATCATCAAACTCGTTGTGCCAGACGTGTGGCAAATACCCACGGGCAGGTATGTGCCACAGGTGAACTCCCCGGAAACGACGACATGTATGGGTAACGGGTGGGTTTTAAGAAAAGTACGTCCTCTCTACGAAGTGAATGATAATGGAGGAGCTTGCTCAGAAATGACCGTGAGCACTCGTGTACACTGTTAACGAGGCCCTCCTTCTAGGAAGACTTGTTAACGAGCCAGTGCTTGAGGTGTACGTCGAAGGAGGCGTCATCGGACACATTCCACTGCAGGCACTGCACGATATGAAACTCTCGTTGGAGCACGGCGATGGTGTTGGCATGGGACTGATCGTTGTGGATGAAGGTGATGGTGGTGAGGTTATCTAACCACAAGTGATCGTATTCCTTGCAGCCGTGGCCTAACGAGCGATCGAGGAGGTCACGCTTGAAGCGTGCATCGGTGCCAACGACCTCATGTAGTGAACTGTTTTGGTGCTTGACCGTTGCTTCTTGTGCCCTCTCAGATTCAAGCTTCTCTAGTCGCCGCTTTCGCACCACCTCTGCTTCACGGGCTCTAACTTGGGGATGTTTCTAACGACTAGCCCACTTTACTTCAGCTGTGAGAGCCACTGGAAGATTTATGCCGGTGCTGGCTAGCGATTGCTGCTGACGCCACCATCTTTTCTGGGTCTCGCGAGCTCTCCCTCGGGGTCCTAGTGGCGGGCCCACACTGCAGCCGCCTGACTAGCTTTCCGCGCCACTGCCTTCACTAACAAGGTGTACATGATGAGTAGCAGCGTGGAGATGGGCCCTCACTGAGTTCCCAGCGATGAGAAAGGAAGCGCGCAGAAAGCGGTTGCGCTCGCATCGATACTAGCATACACGCCAAGAGACATGCACCAAGCATATCTAGCTTCCCCCCTAAAAGCTCTCAGTGGCAGCGTTGATTCGACAAATGCAAAGAAAAATGATTGTCGGAATCTTTGCAGGAAGCTGACCTTATTCTTCTGCGTGTCAATCAAGTATTCTACCACAGATCCACATGAGGTCTCGGAACTATTTTTCAAATAGACCGTAGTGTTCTTGACACACCAACTGTAGTGGAAGTGCTCGCTATCCAGTTTCATAAACATCACAAATGTGCTCCTATGAAATAGCCGTCATGTCGGGATTACGTCAGTTGATGTTAGGTGCCATCCACTGAAGTTGATTTATGTAGCAGTATTCAGAGGTTACCATCCTTTTCAGCAGAAGCGATCGATATCGGCTTACCACATGTGGCGTTAGTAATGTATATGTTGCTGTTGGTATCGCTACGCAACCACGAAGAACTGATTATGTAAAACGTATTGGGCTCTTTAGCGTTTGCGCGTGTATTTCAAGTTATCTTTAGCGTCACTTCTTAGCATGTCACTCAATCGAAAAGTTACAACACAGTCACCTCCCATCCGCATGCAATGCATACCATCAATTCCTAAAGTACGTGGGATCTGCCACTGTTTTATGTGAGGCAAGAAATTTTTTTAATTTTTACTGTCTCAAATAACTTTGTGTGTTAAACAATATCGCAATAAAACATACCGAAAGGAAAATGTTACACTGCAAAACAAGAAAGAATACAATGGGCCGGTTTCAGAAGCATTGTGTGGAAGTGGACTACTTAGTATTCCACATTTATTTTTTTTTTCAGCTGAAGCGTAAAAATGTATACGACAGACTAAGCGCCACAACGAAGACAAGCGATGACTACCGACTAAAACTTTGCAGCGAAGCACCAAGAATATATAACTGTCACATGACATCACAACCTTATCTATCAATGCACAAATATGAAGACAAATTAAAACTGAGTAGCCACGAATTTTACATAAAAAACCACGCACCAGCAATTTCAAGTAATAAGAAGCACGTCAAGGACTTATTAGGGTTCAAATGCAACCTGTCTCGTTTGTGTCATATTGCACGTAGTTAACCGTGTCGTGTTTTGAGAAATATTTTTTGTTCATTGTATTATACATAGTTTTGAATTACTTGTTGGATGAATAGTTCAGTTCATATTTTTAGGATTTGAGCAAATTTTTCTCGGTACAAGCAAGGAAAAAAAAATGAAAAATACAATGTTGACACCAAATATAAAGCTACTTGTGCGTCTTCGACGCTCGTTGATAGCAGACTGTCTTCTTTATTAGCATTAGTGGCAACGCAATATGTTGCTCAGGCAATTATTATTATTATAAAATAATTTATAAATTCATTTATTTATTTGCACGCATGAGAATACAACCGACACACTGACAATTGCCACCTAGAGGGGTGACACAATGCCTGCCTATTTGTTTAAAGAGGAGAGAAGAGATAGATGAAAGGAAGATATAGGTTGAGGGAAGACGCCAAGATGACAAGAAAGTAAAGAAAAAAATGCAGAATACTGGTTCTCAAACAACTGAATACATCAAACAATGTCTGTGAACGGGCTGCCATATTGATTTGCTTCATCAAAGAGAAAAAAATTCATATGTAATTTTCTCAATTCATCGGAGCCTTGCGGATTTAGTGTGAACGGGAATAGTGTCCGTCTTCTGTCTGTCGACGCGCTTGAATATTTTATGCCGCTTTAATTCAGTGTTGCTGAAATAGTAGCGTTTTATAGAAACACTAATGCAAAACAGGACCTGTCACGGTCCACTTTGCTGTTGCTCCTACCATGGCCCCCGAAATACAATTACATGGAGCTACGTGAATACTTTGAAATGCCTTCAGAACCGAACCTCTTTTTCCAGTTACCACTAAAAAAGCGTTGCCATCAAAGAAGTCTTTTACTAATTTCGTTCTTTCTCCAGGAGCTCCAAATAGCCCCTTTGTTTGTGAAATGTGTTTGTAGTGTCTTTATTAAATAAAGTTTCGAGAGTGAGGAAATTTGTTACGCCATGAAACAAAAAAAAAAAAAAACGAATGAGGAAGAGAAGCCAGAAGTGGCTTTCGGAGGAACAAAATATATATAATATCACTGCATGGCTGAAAAACTGACTGCGACGAGAATGGATTGGGGTGTTATACGAAGTGAAGATAGTAGCTAACTAGTATAGCATTCGACCTGGCGCAATTCACCAAAACGTTGGCGTAAGCAAGCGCGATAGCGGCATAAAGCGAAGCCGTAGGTAACGGGTTACCAGCGCTCTATATATTGCAGGACAGCGGCTGGGAAATGTGTTATAGTACTGCGCTACAGTGGTTAAAGCTTTTCAAATGGTGATAAGTGTCGGGGAGTGTTGAATACTTTTTTTTTCATATAGGCTATGCGCTGTTGTGAAGTTGGTACATTCCTGATCTATTGATAGAGGGGTCTCACGATTTCAATTTACTCTTCTTGATTACAGAATTCTGCATTACACCAACATCATGGACACTGTTGTCACTCTCGTAGTGCCCTTCATCTTAATCGTTATCATGAACTTTATGATCGGTCGTGCTCTGTACCTGTTCAACACACGGCGCAGACTTCAGCGAATCGGCAGGGCACAAATGAACTCGGCAGACGCCGGTAAGCCATGTTGTCTTGAGCATAGATAGGTAGATCTATCTATCTATCTATCTATCTATCTATCTATCTATCTATCTATCTATCTATCTATCTATCTATCTATCTATCTATCTATCTATCTATCTATCTATCTATCTATCTATCTATCTATCTATCTATCTATCTATCTATCTATCTATCTATCTATCTATCTATCTATCTATCTATCTATCTATCTATCTATCTGTCTATCTGTCTGTCTGTCTGTCTGTCTGTCTGTCTGTCTGTCTGTCGTCTGTCTGTCTGTCTGTCTGTCTATCTGTCTATCTATCTATCTATCTATCTATCTATCTATCTATCTATCTATCTATCTATCTATCTATCTATCTATCTATCTATCTATCTATCTATCTATCTATCTATCTATCTATCTATCTATCTATCTATCTATCTATCTATCTATCTATCTATCTATCTATCTATCTATCTATCTATCTATCTATCTATCTATCCTATCTATCTATCTATCTATCTATCTATCTATCTATCTATCTATCTATCTATCTATCTATCTATCTATCTATCTATCTATCTATCTATCTATCTATCTATCTATCTATCTATCTATCTATCTATCTATCTATCTATCTATCTATCTATCTATCTATCTATCTATCTATCTATCTATCTATCTATCTATCTATCTATCTATCTATCTATCTATCTATCTATCTATCTATCTATCTATCTATCTATCTATCTATCTATCTATCTATCTATCTATCTATCTATCTATCTATCTATCTATCTATCTATCTATCTATCTATCTATCTATCTATCTATCTATCTATCTATCTATCTATCTATCTATCTATCTATCTATCTATCTATCTATCTATCTATCTATCTATCTATCTATCTATCTATCTATCTATCTATCTATCTATCTATCTATCTATCTATCTATCTATCTATCTATCTATCTATGCAGGTTATGCATAGCACACTTACTGAAAGAATTGCACGATAGTTTGTCCTAATTTCGCACTTCCACACCTTCCCTCGCAGACAACCGCAACACTTTGAGCGGCTGCTCGTCGTCGGCCAGCAACAAGGCCATTCCCACCACGGTGTCCGCCAATGGATGCACGCAGCTCCAGCACCAGTACCCCGAGCGGCTCCTGACCAGTCCCAGTCAGATCAGCGTGTCGCGGATGCTATTCCTCGTCTGCACCGTGTTCATCATACTCAACCTGCCCAGCTACGTCGTGAGGATTCACGTATTCGTGCTCTCCGTCAGCAACCAGCCGGTGCCGGACTACATCCTGCTGCTGCAACGCTACTTCATGCTCCTCTACTACACCAACTTCGCCGTCAACTTCATCCTGTACAACCTGGGGAGCCGCATTTTCCGGCGTGTGATGAAGCAGTTCGTGGCCAGCAAGTGGAGCGCCGTCAGGTCGCTGTGCCGCCCCACGGAGGCTTACGACTCCAGCACCGGTGCTGGGGATGCGGTCACGGGCTCGCCCAAGCCCCGCCAGAACAAGGAGGCGCACCATGCGGCGGGCCGGCACCAGGCGCCCAGGAAAACGTGATGCCGAGTCCTGGGACGAGGCGCATGTCGCCACGTGGCCTGCGACTTCGAGGCCCGTCCCGAGCGATGCGCGAAGGTTCACACTTCCGAGGCACACCGCTACTGCTACCGCTTGCCAGAGTCCAAGTCCAGCTCAGACGTCAGCTTCAACTCTGGGTCGAGGGAATGGCGTATCGACGACAAGGTGATGAAAGAAGGGAAATATTGTGAATAATAATAATAATAATAATAATAATAATAATAATAATAATATAATAATAATAATAATAATAATAATAATAATAATAATAATAATAATAATAATAATAATAATAATAATAATAATTACTCATTATTATTATTATTATTATTATTATTAGTATTATTATTATTATTATTATTAATGTGCAAGCACAAAAACGTGTTACATGCATCCCTACCCGTAGGAAAATGCAAGAATGGATACACTAAAATTCAGCATGAGTAAACGTACAGGCACGAGACCACCTTATACAATCATTTAACGACATGTTAACTTAGCACCCAAAAGATGGCGACAAGATGTAACTTATACATAACATTTCAACAGTTTGAAAGTTGCATACAAATCTTAATAAAACCTAAGGTAGAGAAAAAATCGCGAAGGATAGGATACATAAAATAGCTTGACTTTTCAAAAACCTTTGATTGATTTCCTCATTATGAGCTAATTATAAAACTTAAACTGCTTGGAATGATTAGCAATATAGTGGAATGGATAAGGTCATATCTGTCACGTAGGGCAAATTACGTGGACATAAACGGCTACCATTTCGATGCTTTAACAGTAACTTCCTGTGTCCCCCAAGGTTCTGTGCTTGGACTGGTATTATTTCTTATTAAAAAAAAGATACTTGTTCTGATATGAGTGACGATGTTACTGTGCGAGTGTTCGTCAACGATTGTTTATTTACAGGAAAATATGTGCCCACAGTGATCCAAAAATTCTCAGCGATGCGCTGTCGTCTGTTGAAAAGTGGTGTGCAACTTAAAAAATGAAGCTAAATAAAGAAAAAAACAGCTTTTCTACGCATCTCAAACAAGGTTAAACACGTCCTACAATTTTATTATCGACTAAGTACCACTGTACTATCTCCCGTTAGCATAGTTAAATACTAGGAGAGACAATATTTAAAGATCTCAACTAAACTCAACATATCAATAGTGCTTGCTCAGCCACTGAAGATAAGATACGGTTTTTACATGGCAAATTAAAGCTCGCTCCAGCACCAGTGAAGTTGACAGCGTATAATGTATATTGTATAATCGCATTTGCCTTCGCAGGCGTCCTTTCATGCCAAACGGGAAATGACACTTGCACTTTCAGTGTTGGATGTTTTCAAACCAATGCAACTGTGACGGGCTTTTCCGTACGGTACTCGGAAATGTTCACGAGAATTAAGGTATTTCAGGATGTGTGTCACCTAACATACAACAGTAGGCATTGTTCGCTAATGATGCCTGGATTTGAATAAGCAACATAAGGACGAGGATGCTACAAAATGCAGTTTATGGAAAAGCACTTGAACAAAAATTTCTGTAAACATGCCAATGGTGCCTAGAATAGAATGTGGACGCAAAAAACTATGAGATTAAGTAAAGCCCTGTGAAGTGGCAAGTGGAATAGATAGTGCATACATGAAAACTTTCTGACTGGCGGAGCTTTTGGACAAAATATTTGGGGTATTTTGTATTTCAGGTGATTCCTTGGAGCTTTTCTATGGACGCTTTATCATCGGTGCTGATCTCTTCAAGCCGAAAGGAGCGCTTTCTTATATTAGACTAGAAGACAGCACACATGGAACACTCGATCTCCTGAAGGTTTCAAGCGGAAACATTTGTTAGGAGGCGTCGCCAAAGAACTGATCGCCATGTAGCCAGCTTAGTGGCGCAAAGACCAACTGCGGCCAAAGAGAACCAAAGCGGCAATGATGAGTGCTCAGTGCTTGTGCCTGCACAGAAGAATTGCTGCGGTGATTGTGAAAGATGCGAATTATGTTTGTACGGCATGCCAAACATGCAAGATGTGTGACAAGTTTACTACAGCTCTGCAGGGATTTTCAAAGACTAGTGATGTTGGCTAGCGTGTGCCCACCTGGTCTTTTACGCAGAAGGGCTTAAAACCAAGTGCCATCGCAAATGATGCATCGCAAGAGTCATTTCTAGAAGAAGTGCGGGCCGTGAATTCGGGAAAAGATAATGTAGAGCACCTGTACATAAGTAAAAAAGGCTGATGTGTGTTTCATAATGAATAGCGGTCCTCTTCCGAAAAGTGGTGCTATGTAGTTGAAAAAGCGAGATGCATCGTGGTCTCCAACTTACGGTGACAGCAGAGTTAGGTTTTTGTGGGTGTGTGGTTTTTGGTCTACGGCATAGACAAGTATAAACGTGTTGCTTACTTTCGTATCTACGGATGTAGCAATACGGTCTGTGGTCAAAATGTCCCCAACACTCCTGTGTTCAGGCACCAGGCATATTGCATGCCGGCCAGAGATACCAATGGTGCACAGCAGAGTGAGAATCTGTGAACATTGGATTTTTATGTTTTTTTGAGTTTTTAGGCATGATAATTCTTTTAAGATGCCTGATGAGTCTATGACGCCTTTCTGTATTTTGACCGGCACTGGTCAGCCAGGTGTGGCTGTTTTCATGAAGGCAAAGCCGAAGGGATGGGTTGCTTCTTCGTGGTTTGCATTGAAGCCAAAGGACACAGCCCAGCCACGCGTTGCTGGATTCTAAGTGGCCCAATCGATCAGTTCGAGTCCCAGGCCATAGAACTCTTTGATGCACGTGTTAACATTACTGTAACACGTGGTGATTCGTCGTAAGCCACTATCGTTGCACTGCGTGTAACCAACGGTTCACCACGTTGGCGAATTGATAGAACTCTTGCTAAAAGTTGGACGAGCGATGCGTTTCATTTGAGGGCGTGCTGCCGTGCACTCTCAGTGAAGAGACCTCGTCAGCAACTGCGGTGCTCAATATAAGTGTACATCTCATTCGCGGTTCGTCTACCTTCATTATTACCGTCATAACTCGGCTCTCGCACTCACGGGTCGCAATTACATTTCTCCTTATTGTGTATTTGCTCATGAATGGAGTTGTGACAAAGTGTTTCGGCCTTCGCAGCTAACCTTTTGTTGTGCCGTTTTTAACGTGATTTCCCACTTGCTATCTTGTGCATACTTTCTACATATACATGTATATCTGACACTGTTTTATGTAAAATTATCATATGACCAAATATTTGCTTCTTACGGTGATGCCAGCCGGTTGTTGAAAACCTGTGGAAATTAGAAATGAGCTTTCAGGTGTACCCACTGGTAGATACGATGGAAACAATTTTCGTAAGTCAGTGAAGAAACACGTGATATATCAATGTACCTGGATGTAACTATAGCTAATAGTTGTTGTTGAAGGTGCTATCACAATGCAGAGTTTGTTAACTCTACATACCCATCTTCACTTCATACATTCTAAAGTCGAAGACGTCATTGGAGAGGTTCCGGAAGGATCTTTCAAATAGTTCTGATAACAAGAATCCCAGGGAATACGAAGCCTATGAAAATGTTTTTCTTATTTTTGTTTTGAGGGATAAATATGACAACGACACGTCAATGTGCATTGTAATAAAACTGAAGCTTTCAGCCAAAATTGAAGTCATCAAACGCAGAGCGAGTGGTGCTGAAAAAAAAAGTGAATAAGGGGCTACTAAGAGTTAGATTTTAGTCTTGACCTAGATTGTTATGCCAGGTGGAGAAACAACATGCACAAGTTTGGAGGTCTCACTTGTGGTCGTGTTTGAATGAAGGGCAACATCTGTTCGTACGCCTGAGTTACGATGCTTTTGATGCTTCAGTGCTTTTGTTGTGATCTTTCAGTCATTATGCTACTAATTCCGAAGTTCCTGTTTTGGAATTTTGTTCATGTTTCTCGGGTCGATAATGTCAACGTTATTTACAGCATGTATAAAGAATGTTTTACTTGCTGGATAACATGCTTCCTTGTTTACAAATCCAATGTCATGTCTGAGTGATATAAGGAATATGACTGCTTGCTGAACATCACATACAGAGATGACCACCAGAACAATGTTTTTTTTATTGTTCGCTACAGAGACGGCAGAGTTACAGACAATTTACGCAAAAGCGTCGGGGGCACAAAACTTCGGAAAGCACTGAATCACTGCCAAGTCTGAAAAGACAGCCGACAGCCTAATTTTTATTCTTTTATTTTTTTATTTGCACAAGCATCGGGGTTTTCTGGTGCTGTGGGCAGTATGCTTGAGCCCGCGTTAGACCAAGTGACTGTGAAGCTGGGACTTCGTCACCGTGACATCAGCTAAGTCGCTCTGCTAATAAACTTTTGTTCATTTTAAGCCTTCTATTCACACAAGTTGGTCACCCGGGCGTGATTAGAACACGCAACCCACACTGGTATATTAAAAGCTGACGTCTATAAACGAGCGCAGACATTTCCTGTAGAAACCATGACCGGCCACACCGCGGTGGTCTATAGTGGCTGACGTACTCGGCTGCTGACCCGCAGGTCGCGGTATTGAATCCCTGCTGCGGCGGCTACATTTTTGATGGAGGCGGATACGCTGAGGTCCATGTACTCAGATTTGTGTGCACGTTAAAGAACCCCAGGTGGCCGAAATTTCCGGAGCCCACCACTACGGCGTCTCTCATAATCATATGGTGGTTTCAGGACGTTAAACGCCACATATCATCATCAAAATGAAGACGGTTCGCGTGTGACTGCACCCGGGGCTTTCAAGTTTAGTAGTTTCTGCCAGGAACAAGCCACTGCATCTTTCCGGCAACCCTTATTGGCCTTAATGCGAAAGGCAGTGGTCAACGCGTTTTACCCTGTGCTTGGACAGCACTGTTCGGCTGCCTTTGTATGGTTCACTTCACGTTTTAAAAATAGCATTTTAGAGGTCAAGTTTCCACCTTTGAATATCATGTGGAACATCGCGGC